AACAAGATGACGGAGGAAGGAGAGGAGAAGAGAAAGAAAGAAGGAGGAAGGAGGAAGGAAAGGGAGAAGGGAAGGAAAGAAGAAAAGAAGGAAAGGAGGAAGGAGGAAGGAAGGGAAGGAAGGAAGGAAAGGAAGGAAGGAAGGAAGGAAGGAAGGAAGGAAGGAAGGAAGGAAGGAAGGGAGAGATCCTGCGGGTGGGATCTCCTGCCTGTCCGGCCCCTGTGCTGGCGGGGGTGGGCGTGGCCGGGTGATGTGGCTGGTGGCCGATTGAGGAAGGGCTGCTGCGGCGGAGAGGCGCCCCTCCCTCCCTCCCTTCCTGGCTCCCTCCCTGGCTCCCTCCCTCCCTCCTTCCCCGGTTCTCTCTGGAGCAAAGCAGGCGCCGGCGCTGCGCCTCCGACATCCGTCTGGCGAGGCGGCGGAGAGGCGAGGGCGCGGCACTCACGGCAGCCGGAGCGAGGTAGGTCCGCAGTCCCCGGAGCGGCTGCCTGCCTGGCTGTCTTTTGGGCTCCGAGGCAGAGGGAAGGCGAGGGAGGGAGGGAAGAAGGGAGCGGGCAATGCGGCGCTGCTACCCCGCTTTGCGCAGGGAGGCGGGCCCCCGAGGAGCGCATCCACACTGCGGAAGGAATGGGTGATGGGTTCATAGAATCCTAGAGTTGGAAGAGACCTCATGGGCCATCCAGTCCAACCCCCTGCCATGAAGCAGGAATATTGCATTCAAATCACCCCTGACAGATGGCCATCCAGCCTCTGTTTAAAAGCTTCCAAAGAAGGAGCCTCCACCACACTCCGGGGCAGAGAGTTCCACTGCTGAACGGCTCTCACAGTCAGGAAGTTCTTTCTCATGTTCAGGTGGAATCTCCTCTCTTGTAGTTTGAAGCCTTTGTTCTGCATCCTAGTAATACAATCTCAGGATCCCATCTACACTGTGTTAAACTCAAGGGCCAAATCCAGCCTGTCATGTCATTTTATGTGGCCCTCCAGATGCTGCGGGAAGGCAACAGCGCTCCATGCAGTCATGCCGGCCACATGACCTTGGAGGTGTCTACGGACAACGCTGGCTCTTCGGCTTAGAAATGGAGATGAGCACCACAACCCAGAGTCAGACATGACTGGACTTAATGTCAGGGGACTACCTTTACCTTTACCTTACCAGATGCTGGGCAACAACTGTCTTCCTGTCAGTTTTTTATACTCAGAATCACTGGGTTACTGTGAGTTTTCCAAGTTGTATGGCCATTTTCCAGAATCTATGCAAAGTTGCAAGGTCTGTTGGAAACTAGACACATGGTGTGTGTGTGTGTATGTATATATATATATATCTGGGCACCACAATTGAAGAGAGATATTGACAAGCTGGAGGGCGACTAAAAGGATCAGAGGTCTGGAGAACAAGCCCTATGAGGAGCAGCTTAAGGAGCTGGGAATGTTTAGCCTGCAGAAGAGAAGGCTGAGGGGAGATATGATAGCCATGTATAAATATGTGAGAGGAAGTCATAGGGAGGAGGGAGCAAGCTTATTTTCTGCTGTCCTGCAGACTAGGACACAAAACATTGGCTTCAAACTATAACATTGGGAAGAACTTCCTGACTGTGAGAGCCATTCAGTAGTGGAACTCTCTGCCACAGAGTGTGGTAGAGGCTCCTTCTTTGGAGGCTTTTAAACCGAGGCTGGATGGCCATCTGTCAGGGGTGATTTGAATGCAATTTTCCTGCTTCTTGGCAGGGGGTTGGACCGGATGGCCCATGAGGTCTCTTCCAACTCTATGACTCTATGATTTATTTATTTACTGTATTTGTATACCGCCTTTCTCAGCCCACAGATGACTCAAGTAGTTTACAAGGCAACAATTCGATGCTCACAATACCATAAATATAATTAAAAACATTAATATAAAACCACAACAGAATGAATACTAACATAAATCTCCTTGTTTAAAACATTGTCCAGTCCAGTTTATTTTATTTATTTCATGTCATTGCACAAATAAGTATATTATTAGTCATATTATTATTAGTAGTATTATAATGTAATATATTACATTATTATTATTATTATTATTATTATTATTAGTATTATAATGTATTACATTATTATTATTATTATTATTAGTAGTAGTAGTATTATAATGTATTACTCTGCCCTGGAGTGTGGTGAAGGCTCCTTCTTTATAAGCTTTTAAACTGAGACAGGATGGCCATCTGTTGGGGGTGCTTTGAATGCAATTTTCCTGCTTCTTG